GATAAGTGAAAGGCATACAAACTCGCGTTTGCCTGATTTTGGCATTATTTTCCACTAGCATATACCATTGTAGGCATAATTCACCAGTTGAAGGTTTGGAAAGACATTTACAGTGGAAACTAAGTTTTATTGTTGTAATTTGTGCATCTTTTATATGATGTCAAAATATATTTCTTTACAGACTACTAAATACCATGTTTTGTAAAACAACATCAATCTTGTTGCTTTGAAAGCTGCTTCAATTTTTAAACATTTATTGAGCATTAAATTTTAAATGTTTTGTATCGTATTCGGTACATGTGTTTTTAAACTAACAAGTCATTGCAATTAAAGATATGTTTTTTTAAAGAATTTAGTATCGTACAAAAAACATTGTTGAAACATGTTAGACATAAATTTATAACAGTGCTGTAAATAACCTTTTTATCATTTAATAACTTACAATTATAGAATATATTTAATGAATGCAGCAGAAAATGACTATGTTTATTTACTAACTGCATTTCTTTAGGGCGTTAACAACGTCTTATACAATGGATCTAATACTATAAACAAGTGAAATGTACCTTGGGCTGTTTTATGCTTTTTAGTCAGGTTATTGTCTCTTTGACACATTCCCCATTTATATTCTCAATTCTATCTTTGATATTTTAGTAGATTTTAAGGACGAAAATGAAAACCGAAATACCCAAAACAGAACCTCAGAACAGTACAATGCAAAAAGAACTGGATAATATAACATGGGCTAATTTATTCTATGTGAAACACGAGACTATACAAGACCTGTTGACAGAATAAGTAAATATAACTCATATAAGCAATGAGGATTTCGTTCATGTGAACGTATTTGTAGATTTTCGATTGTCGACCAACCTTTTCTGTCCAACTATTCTAGTTTTCAATATAAAAGCCAAAGCATAAAAGATGGGTTAAAGTCATATAAAACTAGCTTCTGGTGGTTATAATATTAAAGAAATAAATCAATAAGTCACAATCAAAAGATTGAGAAACGTTTTCGTAAAGTAAATATAGTCCGAAAAGGACACAATGTATTCCAGTAGAGCTGGGTAGGTGGTACAATATTCCGAAAGAAGATAGGGTATATCATATGTGTTTGAACGCTGTTTGTAATGAATACCATTACTTATTCGAATGCAATTCCATCTTAATATTAAATATCAGAAATCAACACATTCCAGAGTACTATGTAAAATATCCCAGCGCGTCAAAAATGAAAGGATTACTATCATTTGGGTAATATAAAGGTACTGAATAATATATCTTTTTTCGTTTCAAATCTAGTTTAATCATTATAAAGTATAGTAATTATTGATATATTTCATTTTAGAGTTGTTTCATTTCTTCCTATGATCGTATGTGATTGTATTTTGTATGTATATGTTTATTTCTTGTTTTACATGTGAATGTGACAGAGTGTTTTTAAATTAAGCATATTGTATTGTATTGTATTGTATTGTATTATTGTATTGTTTTGTATTGTATTGTATTGTATTGTATTGTATTGTATTGTATTGTATTGTATTGTATTGTATTGTATTGTATTGTGTATTTTCCTTTTTTTTGGGCTGTGATGTTTCGTTGGCCCCTACTTACGGTGTGCATATTTCACAACTTGTTCGCTATGCATTTGTCTGTAGTCGCGTTTTATATTTCAATGAACCTAATTTATGTATAATTGGTAATGAATGTAATGTATGTCTAGCTGGTAAAAAATGAAAACAACACGTTATAAATTGCATGCGGCCGAAGCGCTTTTTTTTCCTTCACAAAGAACGCATGAAGCCAATTATTTGAAATGCCAAGGATGTATACGAGGGAGTTGAAACCTTAGTATCATAATAATTTCTAAATTTATAAACAAACAATTATAGAAAGGTTTGTTATAAATCATGCAAGTACTGACCACTGATCTGATGAAACCGTCGGGGACTGATATAAAAATAAGGAGATGAGGTATGATTGCCAATGAGACAACTATCCACCAAAGTTCAAATAAAGTGGATGTAAGCAATGATAGGCAACCGTACGGCCTTCAACAATGAAAAAATCCATACCGTATAGTCGGCTATAAAATGCCCCGACATGAAAAATATCAAACAATTCAATTGAGAAAACTAACGGCCTAATTTATAACAAAACAATTGAAAGTCTACTAGCAGCGGTATTGACCCAGTTCTGTTAAATATTAAAACCACACTTTATAAAAGTCATGCAAATTGTTAAGTCATGACTTCGTAATCACAAATTAAAATTAATTAAAACTTTTATTTAATTATTTTATTTTATAAATACAAAGATTCAGTTAAGATTTTTTTTATTACAACCTTAAATTTTACGTTGATGTTGTTTATAGGTCCGTAAATTTAGATTCATTTAAAATAAATGCACATGTACACAAAACCTAATTATTTTTTTAAATCTCGGGCTTCATAAGTAACAGTTCATAAAAACAAACCAATAAAAACAATCTTTTAGGAATAAATTTTCCAAATAATTAGAATTATAAAGCTCTGAGAAATAAATCATTCGTTGTATATCAATTTAATGTATACTATTTTTTATACATGCACATTTGAGGTAAGTTGTAAGAGAATTAGATACAAATCTTTGTACTCATCATAATTATATATGTTAGACAATAAGTTAAATTAAGTATTAAGATATTACCTATAAGCAATTAATACCCGAACATTTCAGACGTTAAGTTTATTTCCTGAAATTTAATAAGTAATATTTTATTTTACGTATTGCTTAACCGGATTTTAGGCAGTAAGGGATGTTTTTATAACTAAGAAAGTTTCTCGTCATATAAAGTTGTGATTATGTCATTTCTATAAAGGTTTATCTTTACACATTCTAATTTAGCTTTTAGTTTTTTTTTTCCTTAGACCGGCCCATCTTCTCTTTTTTTTACATGTAGATTGCTCCTTTGGATCTTTGTACCAGTTTTTAAAGATCATGTTATTAAAACCTATTCATTCATGTATATAGTGAAGTGTGGGTGCAAAATCTAAACTTTTGTTTGTTTCTGTCCTTATTTGGTTTTTTGTAGGGGCCGGGGTAGATTCTAGTAAGATAATTGTTATTGGTTGTGACTGGTATGGTATTTTGGACTGTCCAATATTTTGGGTTATTTCTGTTAATCTTTTACGCTTTAACATTTTAGTATATTAGCGGGATAGTTCTGACAACGACGTTAGCCTCATTATTCAAGTTTTGATTTTATATGCCCCCTTTAAAATCTAATGCGCACTACTACGAAATATTATTTATAAATTCTATTAATGATTGTATCAGGCATATGTATTCAAGTAAGCGCTTCAAAAGATTTAACCACGCAAATTGGATTAATTTTACACTTTAACCATTTGTTTTCTCTTATTGCCGATCAAAGCGCAATAACTTAAAACTGAAATGTTGTTTTTGAATAATGTGTGCATTATATGTAGTTACGAATGAGGTATAGTATTGAAAGAAGTTAATGGAACTTCAACCTAACGAAAAATACAACTTTTAATTAAAAAATGAATGAAACATCTATATTAACAGTATTCTGCACATCCTTTTCTATCTTTTCAATAGTTATCTTGAAAAGACCCATATTTAAAAAAATTATGATTTGGTAAGATTACAAAGTTCTACCTTAGTTTACAATTGGCCTTTTAGCGGATCCATTGTATAAACTATGACAATTAATAAACCAAACGTCGAACAAAAACAGACAACACAATGGCCAAAGAGACAAAAAATGGATGTAGAAAAATTACGAAAAGACAAACAAGTCAACAAAACGCTACACAGAAAACTAAGTTTTGAGCAACTAGAAATCCATTAAAACACTGGCCGAACTATGATCATCTGGGAGGTAAGCAATTCCTGCTCCAGTAACGTTACCCATCATGTTTCTAATGCAAAAATTCAGTTAAGCTTTCAAATTTTTACTATTAACCAATTTCTATGCCATGTGAATATCGGTAGTGGCAGACTTAAATCTGTATGAGTTTCCTTTTCTTTTTTAAAGATATGCTAACAAATTTTAAATCATTAAAAAAAAAAAATTTCATCGTGACAATATTGTTTGTAGTTATTTCTGTATAACATGGGAGTTCTTATTTAAAGGAGTTTGGGGTATAGTAGTAACAAACGCACCAAATGCCTTGGTGAATTGATTTTGGAATTTATAGTTTAGTAAATCAGATATCTCTTGTATAATGTTATCTACACGAAGATCATCCTTCAGATATTTGACCACGCCTTTTGATAAAGAAATGCATTGTCAGCTGATATTTTATAAAATAGTCGGAAGTAACTTTAAAGATAGTTATCTACCCATGCTACAATGAATTATTTCCGGTTCGATACATTAAATGTCACTTACTTTGTTCGGATTTGAGCTGCCGTTTTGTTGTGATATGCTGATACTTCATTGTTAAATGTTCAGGCCGAAGTTACGATAAATTTGTTCAATTAACTCGGGTTTTCAGTTAATAAACACCGGTGACTTAAATGTTTTATTTTCTTTATTAAGACTTCTTCAATGTATACAACTATAATAAGTATCAGCACATATAATCTTGGAAACGCGCGTAAAACTCGCAACAATCAATCAATCTTGATATTTGGAACCCTTATATTCAGTGATTGTAACAATTTGATTTAAATTTCAATAATATCGATTTCATCACAAAATTTGCATTACTCAATCATCTTTATTCCTTAAGAAGCATACATAAAAGAGATTAGTTTTTTTATTAATTAAATAGATAAACAGTTTTCTTTCTATCAAGTACATAAACTTAATTTGCTCCTGTGCATGTTATTCTTTCGTGGCCTATACTAACCGAAATTTAAAACGCGCCTTTTAAAGAACACATTTATGATTTACGCAAATAAATCTTTTGTTTTAGTTTTGCTCTAAATCTTTTTAATATAGGGAAAGTCTATCTGGTCTTGCAAATGACTTGTTATAAACAATTTTGATATTTAATTGACAGCGAAGATTCATCAAAGTATGTGGCGTTACACCTTCAATGTAGACCACTGGAATTTTGAATGAAGTTCAAGTTTTTGTCTTTGACTCAATTCAGTTTTGAATTGATTTCAACAGAAGTCCAGATGCAGTTTTTTTGTATATGCGAGTAATGTACTATGTTTGGTGGATATGTCTTTTGACGAACATTTCCAGAGGTAAGAAGTTAGACTAGCGGTTATTTGTTTGTATATATCTAATATATCGAAATTATCTGGTTAATTGCGCATTTAGGATATTGAATTATGAATAAAACTTAAAAAGTCTTACAAGAAAAAAAAAATTTTTTATTGCGAAAAAGGTTATAAGAAGTAAGATGTACATGTGATAATACCAAACACATATGTCTAGTACAATGTTCTGTTCATATCTCAACATCGTGTACAATGTAGACAGTTCACTTCTATTTTCATTGAATAACAAAATTAACAAGACAATCTGATCTTTGCAAATGAACAATTTATTTTTGTGTACAAGGAACATTGAATTCTACCAGAAAAATATCAGTAAGATACAATGATTGACATACATAATAAATTCTAACTCAGGCAAGGAATTTATTGAAGAACACGTTCTTACATTCTAACCTTTATTAACGAAATAAACACAATACATTTGAATGACCGAAACAATGTTTTCGATATCAAAATAGCTCTTTTAAAGGATATTTATGAAACGTTTTTCTCTTGATTTAAATTATTTCTTTGTTCTTACATTGTAAATAGTTTCGCATATACTATAGTATTTTAGATATAAAATTTTATCATTTAAGTATGTAGTCAGTGTAGTGGTACAACTAGTGTTTTATCAGTTGGGTATTCAGCCGCCAGTGTACAGAGTCCTAACTATGACAATGGATACTCAACGTAAGCATAATTTATTATACTGCACGCAGTCTTATTTTTAGCTTGATTGTCAAAATGTGATCAATGGAGAAGCAAGTATTGCAAATTTTAACAATTCTGGAAATAGTTGTCATTTATTATTTCAAATTTTCTGATTAATTACATTGCACTAATATAATCTTTTAGTAAATGCATGATACATGTGTTCATACCGAAACGGCTATTATATTTTGTTTTATACCCGATTTGAGTATAAAAAATAAATTAGACATTGCCGTGAAAGAACGTAAGTCCTAATATGTTAAAGTAGATTACAGCATCTTGCACATTGAAAAAAAGACTCAATCCATCTTATTTGACAACAACCGATGTATCTGATCAGAACTGATTCTAACAAAGGGAATATGTCTGAAGACATTAAGCTAAATACTGCACATGTCCAGATCGTATCAGATAACAAAATGATCATTTAATTAAAATTGCATTTACTAGTGAAAAATCTACCTTATAAGAATAAAGGGATATTATATCGAATAAACATCAACGAGACAGCAACTCATCAACACAAAAACAAAAGACATCTAAAAGCAAAGTTTTTCTTCAGCAATAGTTAGGTTTTCATCAAATATGTTTAGCTTTAAATCATCCGAGTCTAGGAATGCTGTATTTGAATATAACTATAAAAAATCTGCTATTGACACCAAACTGATGCCGCAAATGACAAAAACATTAAGAAACGACAAAAAGCAACAACTGACAGGGACAGGCACATCAACATTATGCGTGGTTAAGGTTGTTTTCTATAGATCTTAAATTCATTTTATAAAAAAAATAGATGTCTTCATTGGCCAGTTGAAATTTGATGAATATCTGTTACATTATACATTAAACATAATCTACATTGAGTTTTGACTAGGGAGTGAATTGAAAAAATACATCAACATAATTGTCAGATATGGGAAACAGTTTTTGAATTGTCGTATTATTTTAACATTTTCTATATGCAGTAACCTAAAGCTAAATTTTATATATATCATTTAATGTCATTTCTGTCTGTACAGATAATTTTTTTATGCAAGCGTATTTGTACAATATTTTAAGAATCTTTATTAGTACCAGTGAAGATCTTTTGTGTACATCTTGTTTAATGATATTTTTCTTAAAAGCCTTGTTGATGTTGAATTCAACCTTTGACTCATGAGACGTAAAGAGAACCATCGATAAAAATGTTAAGAATAAACTAGGGTCGACATGGTAAAATTATGGAAATGACAAATATATTATATATTAATATTCCAAATGCAAACTCAGTCTCTAATACGTCAGTTTACATCACATTTCCAGCGACAAAACATGTTCTTGGAAGCACTCCACATCCATAACAGGATCATCACTTTTGGTCCAAATCAACGCATCTATTGACTGCACGGGGGATACAATAAATATATATGACGGTATGTAATATATATTGTCATCATTACGATTTGGTAGTTTATGAATAGCGAGTTTATGTTGTGTTTCTAGTAATCCTCTCTCATCCAATTTACCGAGGTTTTATGATATAGATGATTAACGTGTCCATATACATTATATCCATTGCTACACAAGCTATATTTCTCGAAAAATAAACTTCAACTTCAACTTGTACATATATTAAGACAATGAGAGATATCTAAGATTGGGAGATACTTAAAACTATGTATGATCCATTTGATCAACATAGACATAGACTGAATATGGCTTTATGATCAAATTTGATACGAGTTATTCCCGTTATGATAATAAAAATTCTAGTTTGCCACCGCAATGATGTGACGAAAACATTTTTTGTTAGGGTAAGGGCTAGTGTTATGGTTACGTATAGATAAGGTTAGGAATCCTCTTTATGGGTTGGAACCATTTATGAAAAGAAGGCCCAATTTGAGGCATTCATTATGTACTTTTTATTCATAGAAAAGTTTTTTTAATCTAACATGATTCTTGTCATTAAGCTCTTAAATAGAAGTTCAGAAAAACCTTCCTGAAAGTGCTATGCTAGGAAGTATTTCTATGTATAGGAGTGAATTAAATATAATTTTGAGTTAAAGTGCCATTATTCAGTAGAAAGAAGACTAAGATTAGTTGAAAGGTTGTTTGATTTTGCATAAATGCACATGAAAGAATATGAAAAAGAACAATCCTCAAGTTTGCAAGCTGTTAGGAATGGACAAAATACCACATACCAAAAACAGTCTGAATATGTGTACTTTTTGTTCTTTTTATCATCAACCATTTTTTATGATTTTACTGACTTATATCTTAAAAACAGTACTAAACAGTTGTATTTTCACACATATCAAAATCATAAAAACGGTGCAGACGTGTTTCAGACCAGGTAGAGTCGCCCGAGTAAAGGTCCTGATTAAACTAAGTGTGATTGATGCTTGGTTGTGTACACTTTAGACTTATTCGAGTACAATATACGCTTGTACCAATGTACAATAAATGCAGATGAAAGTAAGTTTATACATTTCGTGCGTCTGAAACGCTTTTTTTTTTTGGGGGGGGGGGGGGGGGGGGGTGTTTGGATTGAAACGCTCTAACCCAAACATTTTTAGAAGCCAATGATGTATAAATACGTAGAAACGTTAGGAGATATATGACCGATAGGGACTTCAATCTCTGTCAGGGTGAGTTGAGTGCAGTTTAATTTCAGAGTGTCGATTATAATTTAGTACTAATCTGTAGTTAAGCCAGATTTGATGACAAAGCAAGTAACTTCATTTCTTCTCCAGACTAATTGAGTAAAATATAATACATATTATATTGAAACCCTTTGTTCAAATTCCTTTGGTTCTTATTGAATAATTATACATAATGACGACAAACCAAGAATTAAGATCCTTCACGGCTAATATTCACGTAGTTTTTAATACAATATAAAAAATTAATTTATCCTAACACATACACAAACAATAAAATGGTAACCTTCATCGTATCGTTAAAGTTTAGTTTTGTAACTGTGGCATACTTAATGGCTTAAATTATTAAGATTGTTTTTTAGGCACAGACACCACTGGTTTAAAATTGCACACTTGCTCAAACATGGGATATCCTAGATATTTTATAGCTTCGACTGGTAATATATATACCTCATTTATCACTGACAGCATGTCCAGTGCAGCGGAAAAGGGATTTTCATACAACGTTATATCAGCTAAAGATTTTTGTAGGTATTTTTGTATGATCCTCAATGAATATACAAGATTTAAATTCATGCCTTCTTGAATAATTTCACATGCAATCTGTAATTACATTATGTGGTATTATGCTTGTGTATTGCTGTGATTTGGTGTTGATCTGACGACAAAGTCTTAATTCACTAAAATTCGATTTTACTGACTTAACACTACATGATCTAGAAATTGATAAGTGAAAATGTTAGTATTCGTTGTCAATATTTTGTTTTGTACCGAGTTGCGACGAGCTTGAACTCGGATTATAATATTATGATTGCATTGTACTATTTCCACTATGCTAATGCAAAAATATTGTTTCCTCGTTGAGTTTCTTTTTATTTAAAACATACATATAGTTATGTTTTTTATTTTACTTTATTTTAGCTAGTTCTGCGTGTACTTCTATTCTGACAAAAGTGGCATCCACTACAGTACAATATATAAGTAGCCCGATGTTCCCTAACCAGTATCCAATGTAGGTATTATAGTAACTTTTTTTAAATTTGTGTCATGCTTGTATTACATTTTATTATTCAGCCTTTTTTGAGAAAACGTTTAAAAATATTGTGTAAAATAATATAAGAATCATGTTCAGTAACATCTTTATACCATTAAATTTCATTATAACACCTCAGCAAGTTTTCCTAAAAAAATATATACCTCAAACCATTTCATTTCAAAATCCTTTTACAGAGTATTTGGAAATCAATATATTAAAAGACTACATAATGACCCTGGGAAAAAGTTTTGCATTCACATTTTCGTTTTTTTCATAATTAATTTTCCATGTTCAAAATATACGTCGTTGCTTTGAGGTTTTAAAAGATACGGATATTTTCTGTAAATTAACTGCTCATAAAATATCAAAATCATTCAAAGCACAAAATATTGTTTCCACCCAGGCATATAAAGGCATTTCCAGATTTGAGGATAAGTCTTATGTAGAGGAAACACGCGTCTGGCATATTAATTTTTTCGTTTGGTATTTTATATGAGTTTTTACAACCATTGGATCGATGTCACTTTTTGTCCCAAGGTTATCACAAGCCCAGACCTCAGCACTCTTGTGCTCGCAAGAAATATAATTGATACAGCAATTTTCTGCAAATATATTGCTCATAAACTGAGTAAATAGTTTGACGCACCAAGTTTTGTTTACATCCATACATAGATAGCCTTATCCAGATTTGGCACAACTATTTTTCAGTGCCAACTTCATTTTTTTATTGGACTTCCAACTGTTTTGTTTCGAGCACCATTGATAAATCTTCTGCAGACAGAACTAACGTCTAGCGTACAAAATTATGATTCTGGTATCTTGACAACTTCTATGTCCATGCAACACTGCTGGTGGTTTTTTCGATCCCGAGGGTGTCAAAATATCCTTCGTAGTCGGCACGTTTGTGTTGGCATAAAATTCTCTTGATACTGTAATTTTCTGGTAGTTAACTGCCTTCCAACAAATAATTCGAGCGTTACTAATGAATCCTATGTAAACGAAATATGCGTATAGTGTTCTACAGTATAAGCCTGGTATATTAGATGGTATTGAGTGATTACCCAAGATTTGATCAAATATTTAAGTCTTGTTTATCAAAAATCTGATTTGTATTTCCAAATTTCATATAATAGTGCTTTAAGATCAGTGTTCTTTTGTGAAAACGATTATGATCTAAGAGCAACATGGATTCCCAACGTTTTACCATTAAACGTCTGTATTTGAACCTTTAAAATGTATCTCAATTCAATTGAGCACAGCAGATAGCTGATAGCTTACAAGTTTTGATATCAGAAAACCCCAGCGAAATCATTGCAATTGGAATTGAATTATGATTTTCATTATAAAAAAATCGAATTTTCAAAAGAAATAATACAAATATATATCACTACGGTAAAAAAAAGTAAGTGAACTATTTTCGTCAAGTTCACTTTCATTACTCTCTTTATCATGGACACATTTTGGCTAGATTCAAACCAATATAGTTTTCATTTAAGAACGTTTAGATGTGTTGCTGATTCTAACTTCATTTAGTTTTTAAGTGGTGTTTTTTTCTGTTGTTGAAATTCCTGCAGATTGGTTTTTGTTTTTGCTCTTTTGAATTTTTTTTTGTTTTTGTTGTTGACAAGTCTTGTTTCAGTTAGGTACATTGTGGTACGTTGTTGTTTTTGTATGTTGTTTAATCCCTATTCATAACTTTGCAGACCATGTGCCTAAAATTGAAGTTAGGTATTAACATAATTCAAAATCTTATGATAGGCAGGACATTCGGAGATCATTTTCTCTACAAAGCTATGCCAAAAACAATCCACAAATTAACAAGAAAACGGAGGGTAACGAATTAAATTGTAAATCCTAGCTTTCAAATAAAGAATCATGCCGATTAATTCCAATCTTGAAGTTTGAAAAGAGACACACACAAAAACAGTTTTGGGTTGAAATCATAATATTAATGTTTTTTTACATTTTCTTTTACGATTGGTAAATATTTTTCAATAGTATTTACTGAATTACTGAATAGAAAAATAATGTTGCCTTTGATTTAATTTAACCTATGAAAGCATTGGATGTATACAAATGATGGAACATAATAAGTATTATGATAAAAAAGGACCAACATCTTTTCTTTCAAATCTTACATAAAATTGAGAATGGAAATGGGGAATGTGTCAAAGAGACAATACCCACTTGCCAGGAAAATAACAAATGGAAGTTGAGGAAATTGAAAAACAAATACTCCAAAAGCTGTCGAAAATCTTTATCTTTACCTAGGGGTAGACAAACCTGAGCGTTTACTCACATTTAACAAATCACCAGATTTACAGGAAATTACATTATCATAGATAGTTCATGTCAGCACAATAGCACTGACTACAAGACTGGCAATGCCCTTGAGGAAGAAACGTCACCAGCAGTTGCATCAACCTAGTTGTTGTAAAAACCTATTAAAGATATGAGTCGTTGCGTAATCATGATTCCCATGCAACTACATTGATTCTTGAAGAATTTTATCAAGCACGTCCGAAACCATAATTTGGAGCACAAAAGCCAAAGTTGCCTAACAATACCAAAATAGTGAAGGTATAAAACGTATAATATGTTTGACAATATGGGCACACAACATGAGTTTTTATTTTAATAACATTTATCCGACATCACCAGTACTAAATGTTTGAAGGGCAGAAATACAAAACAAAACAGAGAAGTAAAATGGAACATAGAAAAACTGGCAAAAAAGTCTTTGATCAAAGGAGAAGGTTCGGTAAGGGCTAATTTTAGCCTAAAATTTGATGTACATCTGATTAAAGTTTTTTGACACTTTTTAAACACTTGGGTGTCTTCTTCAGTAGATTCAATTAGTTTTTTGTAAAAGATTTGATTCGATTTGGTCATTAAAGACACTCAAATTCAAGCTTAAATATAAAGAATCTATCAAATATGCCACAAAACGTCACTTTTCAGATGGTTTTTGTCTAAAATGAAAGTGGCCGCATTCGTGTTTAGTCTCAACTTTATATATGTTGTGTAATATCATCAAGTACAACATATATTTAAATATTAAGATTGAACATAAGTGCGGCCGCTTCCATTTTAGACAAAAACCGTATAAAAATAGCACAGATGTTAAAATTGTGAAGATTTCGGTAATTTTGCAGGAACTAATGATGCTAGTACCTCAAGCATGTGCATTGTCTTGTCCAAAACAGACAATATTTATATAGCAAAAGTATTCTACTTTCTAATAAATAGATAAAAGTTTACATTTTAACAAATTTGTAAAATGCTATATTTTGGGATCAAAAGGGAGTCTTACTGGACCTACTCCTTTGTCGACTGCAATTTCTTAAGTGAAGGAACCGCATTGAATTGACGGCATCTATACCAACATGACAATATGCATAACAACTATGTAGGAATTGCACCATAACTGGGATTAAAATGCTTAGCAGAAATACCCAACGGTTAAATATAAGTAGACAAGGCTGAAGAAAAAGAGATTATATGATTGTAAACGAAATATCAGCTGGACATAAACCATAAATTGAAACTCTGGTTGGAATAATAAAAATAAACAATGTAATCATTGCCTTTTATTTTGCAGAAATAGTGAGTGTTCATGGAGGATAGAGAGAATAGGAGATCCAGAACAATTAGAATTATCTTTTAGATTTATAGATATAGAGGCTGATGATAACAAGTGTCGGTATGATTATGTGAAGATTATTGATGGTATGTTTGCGTTTATATGATAGTGGTACATGTTAATAAAAGATATTCTAATACTTATGTTTACAAAGTCCACATTATGCAGTAAACAATTTGATAATCATATACATCTGACAGTCTGCAAAAACTATATGGTCATCCATATAAATTGTTGTACGTAATGTCTCTGGTTAGATCTTTCAAGTATGTAATACATGCAGTACGGTTTACAAGAAATTACTTTTAACAGACATCATTAAAGATCAAATGTTACAGACAAATCCACTCTCGCTCCTAATTGTAGTTCATGCAATTCCCTTATATTGTATTTATTACCTTGATTTGTTTCTTCGTAATCGACTGATGAGATTTGAACATTAGTGAACTAGTGTTACCTGAATTTTGTAATTCATGTTCACATCTTCCTTATACATTGTATTTATATTTTGGATGTTAATATATTTGGTGATTTAATATCTATTAGACAAATATCATCATATGTAAGTTACATGAGATTGAATAATTCTATTGCAGATAAAACAAATCTATTTATCAAAACAATTGCTTCGATTATTTTAAAGACCCAGATTAAATTGATTATTCATTTTTTTATTTTTTTTTATTTTTTACAATGTATTAAAACTATCTATCAACTTTAATCATGACAGTATCATAATAATGGTATTACAAAAATACCATTTTTATTATCTCCTATCAAATTAGATAGGTTATCACCCCTGGTCAAATAAATAAAACAGCGATTATTTTATTTCCCAGAAATTCAAATGAATTCTTAGTTATTTGAATATATGTGACTTGATGATAAATAAACAAACAAAATAATGCATAATGACAAAATACACGGCTAACCCAAGTTGATTAAACCATTATTACAGCTCATTTGGCTGCTCATAAAACCAGTGTTAATATATCGTATTGTTAAAATAATCATCCAGAAACCTAAATCTATCTGACAGAAATGAAATTGGAACACTACTTTAAGGGGATGTGAGCTTTAAATTTAAATTATAGTTCATTTAATGTGATTCTTTTTTAACAGATGCAACGGGCACAACGATTATCACATCATGCGGCAGAGATGAGTGGTTTCCAAGTCAGACCTACACAACAAAAGGGAACGTTACTGTTATATTCCATAGTGACGTCACTGAACAACATAGAGGATTCTTACTGGCTTATCAGATACAAAGTAAGATGCAAAAATGTTTAAAGATACACCGGTGTATTGCTCTAAAGTATAAAACTCAACTTAAATTGTAAAGGTACAATTATAATGGTACGAGTAAATGAATACGAATTGTGGTTTTCGGAAGTTAAAAGAGCTGCATTCATTTGCATTAAAGGTCAGTAGTCTGTGTATTCGTTTATGTCCATATCGAAAATCGAAGTATTTCTCTAATATACGTCTACCTTCATATAAATAAATCTTTTAAATGAAATTATTCCAAAATGTGTCTTTTGTAAACACTTCTGTCGGGAACATAGCACAAAGCATTAAGGAATGTCTGAAATGTGTTAGCCAGCAAAGAAGCTCTCACATTTCAACATAACAAATTGCAGTCTCTGAATTCCAAATTGGCGCTTTAGATATATCGTCATCTCAGAGAAAGTCCCGAAAGAAAAAGACAAGGGAGATTAATATATCAATAAAGACAAAGTGTCTTCTGGTTTTTTAACCATATCTGTCTTCCCTGCAACTGTATCACACATTTATTAGATCTTTATAAAACCCTTTAAATTGCTCTGTTGCGTCAAATGTGTTTGCCCGGCCTTAATACTATGACCGAGACTTATCAACGACGTCATAATATTTGACCCGTTGCTTATATAAAAGCTTGACATGTATTATAAACAAATCAATAGAAATTTGAAAAAGAAAATTATGACAAAAAAAAAACGAACTCCAAGGTAATTTCAAAAAGTCCAAAAAAAACTGAAAAAATCAAACGTTCGACTTTAACAACCAACGAAACGAATTGTGAACAACTGTCATATTCCTGATTTGGCAAAGGTATTTTTCGCAGAAAATGATGAGGTATACTTGATTTTATAGCTACTTGAACCTTCCACTTGTATGACAGTTTTCAATAGTATAGTTATATTGACAAAATAGGGTGAAAAGTAAAATAACGAACTCCAAGGAAAATTCAAAACGGAAAGTCCCTTAACAAATGGCAAAATCAAAAGCTCAAACAATCAAACGAATGGAAAGCAACTGTCATATTCCTGAATTTGTACAGGCATTTGTTATGTAGAAAATGGGTGAGCAACCCAAATAGACGTCATAATTGGGATGCAGCAGCCAAAACTGTGTAAACATACATCACAGACAAACAACCATAACTGGTTTAGAATATCCAACAAACATACAAATAAATCTGAAAAAGACGCCAATAAAACAAAAAGGGTTTTGTAGTTGATAGTACATTCAGTATTGGGAAACATAATTTTGTATACACAATAATTGGGATGCCAAAACTGTGTAAACAAACAGTACAGACATACAAACACAAAGTACTAAGACGCCAAAAAATGTATTTGTAGTTGATAGTACAGACAGTATAGTAAAACTTTATGTCATTTATACTTTCCCGATGAAGTACAAATTTAGTAAAACATGAATACAAGGGTAAGAAAGAAAAAAAAAACCCAACACTATAAAAACCTCATGCGTCTAAAATTTGACTTATGATGACTGCATGTGTCCTATATGTTTTATGATTTTTTTAACTCTTAACTGTAATACATAACCGTGCACTAGCTTTGCTATCAATTGCCTTTTAAACTTTAAATGATATTAGTTTACCTCCGCTACGACAACCTGGATGAGGCATATAAAACACAAAAGCTCAAATGTCCTATATTAAATGCGCAAATGTCCAGTTGAAAAGGCACAAAAGTCCTTTTTTAAGGCGCAAATGTAATAAAAGTTGAAGCGCAAATTTCCCATCAAAATCAAGCAATAGCCATCTCATATGCTCGTTAGTATTCGTGTGGTACTAATTTCGTTGATTTTGATGGATAATAACCAATAGAATCAGGCGTTCAACAAAACTTGCTGTAGGTTTGTAATATCCATTTTTTTAACACGCTAATACAGACTGAGTGTTCAACTCAATCTACGAAATTTGGTTTCTTCGAAAATGAATATATAGTATATGGTAAAACAATAGAGTGATACAATCCTTTTCAAAGTTTATTTTACTTTTTTCAATAGGTTCTTCAAATAAACCATCTGATGACGACTCCTGTTATTTCAATAATTGTGTAATCTTGCCTGTAGTGTTAGCCATTGGAGGAGTTATTCTTATCGCTGTCATAGCTTTTTGCATTATGTGTTTCGTCGGTAAAATGTATGCTGTTCCGAATACAGTGAAAGTGTCGTCTGTACAAAAGAGGCCCAGTTTTCGACATATCTTCATTCCGAAATTTGCAAACAAGAAGCAAGAGTCTAAGTCATTGAAAAATATACTTGTAAAGATGGAAGAAGACTCCATAATTTCAAGACCCCCGATTGCTACTGCTCAAACACTGTATACGTCGAATGACATCATACACAGCAAATTATCAGAGGCACGCAAAACGACGTTGAAAACAATAAACGAAAAGGATAAAACAATAGCTTCTTCTTTTACAAAATTAATGAAAAGGAATCGAGATAAGCACAAAGAACTCTTACAAAACAGTATAAATGAAGCTGATATTTCAAGTAGCTCTGCCTTGCAAAAAGAGTCTGGACAGCTTGCATCAGAAATGGCCAACAAGGAAGGTCCAGATGAACAATTAAGGTCGACTTTAGTTGCCTTCAATAATTCCGGAAATTTTTCAACAACTAATTCAGGCTTTTCAAAAAAGGATCCAATAAGCTACAAAAAAGAGGGCAAACAATCGACTGACAAAAGGAAGACCACGTCGATTACTCGAAACAAAAAAACACAGACCACTTCTATGATTGGTGAAGGCAAGGTATCTGTTACCACTTCACCCGTTAACAATGCTAATAAAAACATTGATTTGATCAAAACTAAAGTTAAATTGAAATCGGATTTAAACAAAAGTACAGAAAGTCATTACAGGGCGTTTTTCAGAAAAAGCATAGAAAATCAGTGTACTCCAAACAAAACTAATCAAAGTGTGTCAAAACCTGTTCATGCTGCTGAATTGGGAAAACCAGTTGAGAAAGTGCAAATTCGAAAAATGCAAACTTTAAGGAAATTGAATGACAAAAGAAAAGAACAATGGATTAAAAAAGACTTAGAATAACATTAATTAGCTATAAAATATCACCTTGATATTTCGTTTTACAGTTCATTAAACGGGTATTTTAAATGTTTTCGCATTATAACATTTATCTCATATATATTTGTCAGATATTATATGTATATAAATGTTTAACATTAATCATCACTGTGTATCTTTTCCACCGGAAATTGGGTACCAACGAAGCGGAAAGAAAGGAAGAAATAAATAAACAAGATAAGAATTCCTTTAATTTAAACCATTTCTACCGTTTTGACGAGGTTACCGCTTTTAAAACGATTTTCTGATATATAAAGCTTTAAATTTTTTATACCAACAAGTAGCAAACAAAGACAAGATTTTGTGTTATACTGCAAAACCAGAAAATTTCGAGGTTGATCGCCCTCCGTCGCCCCGTTGGCCAGATATTCAACTGTTTTTCATTCTTTTTCCAGGCAAATTGTTAGATTATGATAGTGTGACTTCATATTAACTGAAATACGCTATCAAAAAGATGTTTTCTACAGAATATCGGTAAAAATGAATCCAGCCTAGGGTACGGCAACTTGCTACTGTTGGCATATTTACAGTACGGCAACTTATTTTCCAACTGTATGGCAACTTGCTAGTTTTATTATTTTTATTTGCCTCCCTTTTCAAGAAAGTGTTATAAGTTCAAATATACCTAACTATAAATTTAATAGAAATATAATTCGCCTGACGGCATTGTAGATCATGGTATACACAATTGTATGCTACACATGTACAGTACTATTAGATCTCTAGCATCATACAAAAAATCCATGTTTTTCAAGAAGTATACATTTTATGTCAATATTTTACACATAAAAAAAAATCTATGAAGTGTCCATAAATAAAACCCTTTTATTTGTTACTAACTGTCTACTTGTTTTATAGATTACATTACATCTATACATCCGAGTTTACGTCAGATATGCGATGCAATGTAACGGAATCAATTAACAATGAACAAATGAATAATCAGAAGGATTTTATCCGGATTGAATATTTATTTTCATCATTTGCTACGTATGCTTATTTTTTTCCGGCGATTTTTTTTTTTTTTTTTTTTTTTCATTTTTGTAACTAATGGTTTCCTGCATTTTGTGTTGCATATATATAGTTTCAGCTCATCACAGGCCAAGATAATTATTTCCAAATCTCCCCCCCCCCCCCCTGTCCTCTTTTTACCTTCTCAAATCTCATGAAGGCAAAACATCTCCCTGTCGTGTCTGTTTCAACAGATTCTGCAATATTGCAGTTAATACCGTAAAAAAAAAGAAAGAACCATACTAGTAAGTAATCTATAAAGGTCATAAAAATATTTAGAAATGTCTTTATAGATTGTTTATATTGTATAATACTTGACAAGTAATAACTTCAAATTAACAAATTAATAAAATATGGTTTTAATGACATATAAAATTTATACAACGCTATTTAAGATTCGATTATTTTCATATACTTGAAGGCTAAATGCTTATTTTTAAACACTTTAAATTCACATTTCTATAAAACCCAAATATATAGGTCTCACTAGTATTGAATTATATCACTTCATTTCACACAATATAAAAGTAAAATTTAGAAATACATGTATTAATTTATACATCTTATTCGGGAAAAGGTACTACAGAGAACCCGGGCGAATATATACCCCCCCCCCCCCCCCCCCCCCCAAAACCACCGCCACACACTACCTCTCCATTTACTCATTTGAATTCAGGCCAAACAGCATTAACAACAGTCTTTTATTTTTTTTATTCTGAAAATAAGAAGTTCGGTAAATTTAAAAAAATTGTAATAGAAAAGAAAGTATATATGGGGTATCCATCCATGACACAAAATCAGTACAAAATGTATATACACAGTAAACACACACAAAAAGCAATGGAACAGCGCTTTTATTGCTATTCTTCGTCTCACAGTAAGGCCTTCAACACGAAACAATAACACTCACCTCATTGCAATTTTAAGGCGGCCCCTAGCAGCGGAATTCTTTGCAAATTGACGAACAGGCCACAACTGCGAATTGAAAAACAAAGCCATGGAGTTATATCAATAAAATAATTTTTGCAAAGAAATCAAACATGCACTGTCATAATTTACCAAAACAATCACACTAAACAATACAAACATTAAGACAACCACGGGGCACATCGAGGTATATGTTAGATAACTTGGGATGAAATAAGGTACGTGTATGGCAAATAATTCGTAAAGACTTTGTAAGATGTAACACCAAATCGGACCCGGTCAAAAATAACATACCGGAAGAGGTACATTTTTAAAACACAAAGGATAAAATTTTATATCAAACTATGAAGAAAATTTATTGGTAATTTATGTATCAAATGAAAGGTGAAGGACTGGTGATCCTTGTAGGACACCTTTTGACTGATAATTTTGAATAAGATGACATATATTGCGTATTGATTGCCTGTTTCTCAGGAAAGAAGTACATGTTCCGGTAACCAGTACGCTCTGATATATTGACCCTAACCCCAATTTATGCTTGAAATTGAAAAATTTAACATAGAAAACAATGGGGCCATGAATATGGTCTTCTTAAAATTTTAGTACAAAATATTGCCTAAAAGTGAGACAATGATGTAGCACACATAAGATCAGTTATCTCAAGAATAAATACGACATAACTTTAAAAAAAAAACATAAGAGCATACACCTCAAGTACTCAGGCTGTGGCTATTTGTCTTTGGTTACCACACATCGATAGTCTGCCGTAATAGTCGATTGGATGTTAAACGTCCTACAAAAGAACTAAATCCTCTAAACCAGTTCCTTTGCGGATTTTTTTAAAAGTATATTTCAGGCACCGACTGATCATCTTTTGAGGGGGCATGATTTTTCTCTCACGAGAAACTTTTTTCGACCTAAATAAAAAAAGAATAATTTTTCGATAACTTACAGAAACTAGAAAATTAGTTCGAAACGCAATGTATTATTTATTTCTCCCTAATTTGCAATGGAAACAAAGTATTTTGTTCACTTTCCTTCTAAACAAGGAATTAATTATATTATTTTAATGAAGAAATTTTAAAAAAAAAGTCAGGTAGGTGTTGTATTGAACTTTCAAAAAAATTTTCCTTACAACAAATCAAAAAACAGTTGTTAGTAATATATAAACAACATATGATTATATTTCGGATAATTAGGTCGAAGAAAGCATTTTTTTCTTTCACCACTTCCAATAAGTGTACGCATTGATGACATCCGAATCAGATTCACGGCCTATATCTTTTTACATTTTTAGCTATGTAGTTTATTTCGTATATTTATAAGCTGGAAAAACGTTGATATGTACACCATATCACCCCTTGTTATTATCTATATAGTGATTAATATCATCACAATACAGTATATTGCAAGACGCCGTACAGAAAACAAGTTGTTATTTTGCAATTCGCCGTACAACGTCATGCAAGTTGCCGTACAATAAACAAAAACCGTTCTGGTTATATTCTTTAGAAAACATCTTTTTGATAGCGAATTTCAGTAAATATGAAGTCACACTATCATAATCTAACAATTTGTCTGGAAAAAGAATGAAAATCAGTTGAATATCTGGCCAACGGAGCGACGGAGGACGATCGACCTCGAAATTTTCTGGTACCAAGTGCATAGTTTTGCAGTATAACACAAAATCTTGTCTTTGTTTGCTACTTGTTGGTATAAAAAAATTAAAGCTTTATATATCAGAAAATCGTTTCAAAAGCGGTAACCTCGTCAAAACGGTAGAAATGGTTTAAATTAAAGGAATTCTCATATTGTTTATGTATTTTTTTCCCTTCTCTCCGCTTCGTTGGTACCCAATTTCCGGTGGCGATGATACACAGTGATCATGTCCACAAGAAAAATAATTGGCGCCATTTTTAAGAATACGATGGAATTGTCAAAGGGGGGGGGGGTATTGTATAAAAACAACTTAAATATCTGATTTTGGAAAAAATTGGCTGATGGTTTTTTAAGGTGCTTTGCAGAACTAATGATTTTAAGAATGTATAGTATTGTCCTTTACAATAATAAAATGACAGCTGTCAACCAGAGACCAAATGACGTAGATGTTAGCAACTATTAGTCACCGTACAAATGTACTAGTTGTGTATAATAAGTTCAACTAAATAAATATCGAAAGAAATCTAGAGGTTGACATGCAGTCTTCAGCAAAAGAAAGTAGCAATTGCCCTGCAGTGCGCAGATTCAAGTTGATTTAATCTTTCATCAACGCCAAATTTCTTAAAGAGCAACACAACTGTTAACAAAGAGAGGCAAAAGATACCAAAGGGATATTCAAACTCACAAGTCGAAAGTAAACTGACAACGTCATAACTAAAAAAGAAAAAGACCAACAGACAAACAACAGTATACAAAACACAACATAGAAACTAAAAACTGAGCAACTCGAACCCCACCAAAAACTGGGGGTTATCTCAGGTTTTCAGGAAAGGTAAACAGATCCTGCTCCACATGCGATGCAACAGAAGAAAATGACGATGTTCCGTAATCGAGACAGGTAGGTTTAACAAGCACTTAATTATCCCCATTTACCTTAGATCAGTAAAATAACAAGAAGTTATAAACATGTACGGTCAGAAAAAAACATACAAGATAAAAAAAAAAAAAACAATAAACAGCTGCGCCATGAGCGCATGATACGCCCGTCGCATTTTCAAAGAATAAAGTTCAATCACTTCTCAATGTCATATCAGAAATTTATGAAAATCGAAAGGGAGCTTTTTTCAATAGATTTAAACAATTCACCAAAGTTTCATAAAAACTGCTGAAAGTATTTTTGATGTATTGTCCGAAAAGTTGGAAATCCCCCCTTTTTTAATGAATAAAACACAATAACTCGGAAACGTCAAATCTAAAATTTATAAAATTCGAAATGGAGCTTACCTCAATAGATATAAACAATTCACCAAAGTTTCATGAGAACTGCTAAACGCATTTTGGAGTTATTGTCCGAAAACTGTAAACTGACCCTTTTTTTAATGAATAAAACCCCATAACTCAGAAACGTAAAATCTAAAATTCATGAAAATGTAAAGGGAGCTCATGTCAATAGATATAATCA